CGTCTAAGCCGCTACGTCAATCTCGTCAGTGGTCTGCAGAGCCGCAGCTGTGCAGCTGTGTTGAACCACGTTGAACCCCCGTGCCTGTTTAATTGCTGCTTCGGGCAGCGTCTTGGTGGGCTACTGGTTAGGGCATTGTGGCAGCGTGAAGTTGATTTTCATCATAACGCCTTTTGATGGCCGTCTGAACCACCACAACCATGGCCGCCCATGTACATACCAGATATATATGGCCGCCATCACAGGCAGGCACGACCTCTCTTCCCTTGTCTTGTTTCTCGTGTCTTATTGCCTGACGAGCATAACGAGCGACCAGTTGTGGCAGGCACGAGGCAACCTTTACAGGCGACGCACAGCATTGGGAAAAGGGCATTTTCCCATCTAAAGTCAAGGACTAAAACGCAAAGAAGAAAAATCAATCCGACGCAATCAGCATTTCATCCCTCATCCCACCACGGTTCGAGCTCCACCAGGTCCCATCACCATCCTGGCCCAGGACCCTTGCCCGCCCATGTCAGGCTTCGGCAGGCCAGCCCCACTAGCCACCGCCAGATGGCGGTCGAGCGGGCGTCTTCCCAATCAACCGCTATCTTCCTTGGTTCAGCTTTTAGCACTCGCCACTCCAACGGTGTGCGGCGCAACAAGCATAAGATGCACGGCTATTGGAGTAGTATTGGCCGTCTAATGCTCCGTATCACTCGTTCTGCTTGCTCATTTCGCCGCTGTCTACCTGCTAAATTAGGTGCTCGAATAGGAAGGTCACGAACTGGGTTGCGAGGTACGATATCGAGTCACTTGAGTCGAGAGTCGAGTGCACACCACCACACCACACTGGAGCCTTGGCCGTACATGTCTAAGACGACCGGTCGAGTTTGCCAGGCACCGAGGACGAAGCGTCGATAGGTACCAGCTTCGTCATGTCGTCTTCTCTTGTCCCTCTCCACATCGCCTATCTGGGTGTCTTTCTTATTGCCAGGATCATACATGCATGCATTCATTTCAATTGCTCGGTATACGGGGACCTGGGGCCTGGGGCCTGGGGCTGATGGCCGCCTCTGCCCTTGGAGCAGGCTTTCGCGTGATTAGTACTACTAGTTTTCGGCACAGACCCCTCTCCTCCACGGCTAATTTAGACGATGCAGCCAGAAGGGCCCGATTCTGCCCTCCCGCTGTGAACGACCCGAGCCGTCCGCCGCCGCTGCAGCCAGAAATGGTAGGGCGTGCTCTTGAGGATCCATCGCCCCTGAACGAGCTGCTCTCCAAAGGCACGGCAAGGTTCCATTTGGAGTCTGCTTTAGTCCAAAGAGTGGCATGTCAGTTCTATTCCATAAACGAAACTCCAACGGTTTGAGACACCACTCCCGTGCCTGGCCTGTTCATCAGCTTGATCCTGATCACTCTCTGACATCTGGTGGGCCCGGCCATATCCTTGTGTGGCTTTGTGTGGGACGAACTGCACCGAGATTGGCATTGGAGACACCAGTCAACCTTGTGGAATCCATCCTGCCAGCTTTTGGAAGCCATCCATGGTGGCCGCCCGAAACCCCCTCAACTCTACTCCGTATGCCCAGTGTACATACAGCAGTCATATCTTGGTCCCGTGCGCTGATGCCATACCAGACCCAGCAGGCCGCCGGCCTTGTCCACAAATCAGCGCATGTGCCCGCCGTTTAACTGCTAGTCCGTCCTCGCGCCAGCCCATGAAAACAGCTTCGAAGAATACATATTGTTCTGAGAGCAACCCGAAGCATCTGTAGTGCAGGGATGCCTTGTACGTTCTCGGCTTGGCAAGATACTACTACTTGCCTTTCTCGAAGTATACACGAACATACAGAGTATTACAGAATATTATCCTACAATGCGTAACGCGCGATAACCACGTATTTTGCCTGATCACATCTTTTGTGCCCCCTTCCCCCCACTGCAGGTACTTCGTCACGGTGGCTTTCATCATCGTACATGTACTCCGTATTTCTTTGGGTCAACGAGGGAACATGTGCGGGGCCGTTATGGAACGGCTGAGGAGGTCTCTTTCTTCTGGAACGTTTTGCCTGCGACAATCTGGTTCGTGGCAGGGGAAAAAAGGAAAACTGATAAAACACAACAGCGAAGCCATTCGTACACAGGTCTCGGATCTAATGCAACAAGGCCTTTGGAATGTTTCAAGCTATTATACTCCGTAAGGCATTCGCAACTCAGGGTCAGACCCTGGGAGCAGCTTCCCCACTGTCAAAGGCTCACAAGACCAATAGATTCAAACGGATTGCATTGCGTCAGGCATTTTCGCTGTCTGCAAGACATGGGAAAAAGGAAAGCCTCTGTTTGTTAGCACCGCCGGGTTGAGCGGAAAGAATGGAAACATGGCAACATTGAAACGTCAGCAATAGTCTTTGGCATGATAACCTGGGGGCCAGGGGCAAGCCGCTAGCCCCGTGACGATCGACTCACCGTCGTTTGAAGCCCAGAAAAAAAAAATCGCTCTCGCTCTGAAATACCCTTCACTAGTCCAACAGCATGATTGTATTAATGAGCTAACAAAGATAAAAACAGAGGTCTCGGCATACATACTGCTCGTGATTTGCTTAGAGAGTAAAGCTTGCGTCCCTCCCATACATAGCTCTCGCGGGGCCGCTGCTACGTTAGCATCGAATACCTACCGGCATGGCGCCAGTGACGAGATTCTCATAAACAGCGTCGCGGACTCTCCACTACTTTACATAGCGCTTGGGTCAACAAGAAGTCAGCCACAGTATCAAGCCACTGGTACAGTCAATGCCCGCTGCACGAGTAGCATTGGCGCATGTTTCTTTGTTGGATGCCGTGCTTGACGAGCTGTCAAAGTGATTCAGAAGCCATGCCGTCGGCCTTGTCGTTTGTCTTTTTCCTTCTCGGCGACAGTTCCGGTCAACACACAAACCCACCGGGGACCCGAGTCAGTTCATATCCACTGTGGTGCCCGGTCCTAGTCGATGGCTGGTGCATCGTTTACATGGTGTGCCTCTGAATTGGAATTGCCAGTACCAGCCCGTTCGTCCCCGAGCTGCTTTAACTGAGGAAGATGACGACAGCGAGACACACATTTTGACTGACCGCCATTGCTTCCCTGTGTGAGCATCAAGCATTCAGGTGAATGTCCAGACCAACATCAGGTACATGGTTATCCAGGCTCTCTACATCTCCCGATATTTGCTCTCCATCCACTCTGGCGACTCCCGACAAGGCAGCGTATCGAAGGAATTCTCTGTTAGACATCATATGATGTGTAAGCCCAGACAAGCTATACCCTGAGTCTGCGGCGTACGCTTTTGCCAGCGGAGATTGTTGTTGACGCGAAAATCGAAAAAGGGCACACCATCTTAGTAGTGTTTGGGGAACGATCTGCCCCGTGCAGGATTTCAGGTTCACCACATGGATGGAATCTCGTATTTACAAGGGTCATTAGGTCTAGATGTGGGTATAGAAGCTACAGTTGGCATTTCGGTGACTGTTGCTTTTGTCCAGCATGGCCTAGATAGGGAGACGATCAACCGAACTCTTCTCACCATCACGGGGTGAAGGATGAAAAGCGGCAATGAGGGAAGGGTGTGTCGGAACGTTGATGGCATCACATCGGCTTACCATGGGACCAATGGAAGCAGCGACGGCAGGGAAAAATCTGTTTCAAAACTGCTTGGTTGTTTTTGGTGGTGAGGGATGGATGGATGTATGGTTGCTCGACTAACCAACCACACGCAGTAACCCGGCTGCACATTCTCGACTGGGCTGTTCAGCATGTATGTCTGGTCCCTGACACCAGTACGCATATGAAGTCTGCAGGTCGGAATATGCAAGCCAAGTTATTGCTTCCTGCATAAGGTGTCGTCTGCTGCAGTTATCCCTACCTCGACGCAAGGCGCACCTGCATACCACGGAACTTTCAAGTTGAGAATGCCTGTATGCTACTGGGTACGTGCAGCTTCTGACAAGATAGCCCATTGGCAAGCATACGTACACTAATATCTACAGTATTTGGAGTATAGCGGAAGATAATGGCCAGGTCCCTCGACTCAACTGGTCAAATGCGCAATACGGAGTATTGTACGGAGTATTATGATATCCTCCCCCCTCCCCCTTTGCCCCAATAAACGCGTCCATGTCAGTACAACATGTTGGTTACAGAGGCTTATCATGCCGACACGATGTGAGCTATATTAATTTACCGCTTCCCGTTTCCAGGATGCTGCATCCCCAGAAATGTGACGAGGCACAATGCCATGTCCATGTGCCCCATGCCAACCCAGCCGGATCACCTTTTCTGGCCCTTAAAATGCACCATTAAAGTGCCCTTTGCGTCTGAGTATATATTGTACGGAGCTGTATTGGACTGCACATGCAGCTGACCCACGACTCCAACATGCACGCCAGCCCTGACAACCGCGCCCGCTCAGGCGGATTCGGGATCTTGAGGCTGGTGATGAACTGGGGCCCCCGACTTGCTGTTGGTGTTGGTACGGAGCGAAAGATATTATATTATACATATAGGAGAACTGAACAATTTGTCTTGCCACGACACTGCCCTGGTCACATCTCATCTTCTCAGACCCTGGGATAAGGGCCGGGCCCCCCACGGCGTGGAGAAGCGAACGATCCGATTCCCAGTCTCGAGTATTTTTAGATTCTGAGCCACGAACGTTGAACAATCTTTTTTTTTCTCCGTCAGTTTCAGCGGAGGGCAAAAAAAAAGCAAAAAAAAAAGGGGAGGGGGGGGGTGGAGGCCATCTTATGACCACCACAACAGCAACCACATGACGGCAAACATGACCTCCAAGGAGCCGGGATAGTCGGCAGCAATGGTCTTAAAGAATCACCAGCGTCTGCGAACCAATTACTTGTCGTATATTTCATTACCACCCTCTACTCCGTACACGCTCGGCACTTCCCATGTCTCGTCCACCAACCGTCCCGTCCCTGCTCACCTTCCTCGCCTTTCTAGAGTGGCAGACGCTCCTCAAAACGGTCCATCATCTCCGCATGCTCCCAATGAGTTCCTTCTGTGCCTCGCGATCTCGCGCCCCGTCGCTCAAGCTGCCCACGCTCCGCAAGTCGCCGACCACATCCTTGGCCTTGCCAAAGTAGACTTCCTGCAGCAGGTTGCGCATCTTGAGCTCCATGTCCTCCACGAGACGGCCCACGTTTGCGATGTGGCTGTCGTCACTATCTACCGGCAGGTCCTGCTCCACCTGGCGTGTCATGTTGCCGCTGAGGTCCATGTCGCCGAGGCTCCCGTCCGCCGTCGCGAGCGACAAAATCACCGTAGACGTGAGCTTGTAGTGTGTCGTGCGCCCTCGCTCAATCGCCTCAAACACATGGATCGAGTCCCATACCCCTTCTGTCGTTCCGCCCGGCGTAGCAGCTGCACCACACCAAAAAAAAAAAAAAGGGTCAGCAACGTCCCTCACTTCTCCCTTAGTTTTTCCCCAAGTCCCCAACAATCTCTGGTGATGGGAAAAAAAAGAAAGAAAGACAGGGGGAAGGGGAAAAAGAAACTCACACTTCTTCAACAACACGACGCCGGCGAACCCATCGTCCAGATTCCAGAAATACACACTGCTCACTCCGCCCTCGTAGTACAGGTCCCGGTAGATGTCGAAGGCCTCGTTGGCCTTCATCTCCATCTTGCGCACCCTCTCGCTGGGGATGGCGCCTTCGCCGGCGCCCTCGTTGCCGTCGGCCCCGACACCCCCCGCCCCGGCCTCGTCGAGCGGCGGGTCGAACTGGTTCGACCACGGCGAGCGGTAGCTGTCGCCGTCGCGGTTGTAGTCGCAGAGGAGGTACTCGCGGCCCGACTGCTTGCACCGCCGCACCGTGAGCGGCTGGTCGACCGAGGAGAGCAGGTCTTCTGTGAGGTCGGGCGCCAGGGAGATGATGGCGTTGAGGTGCGAGGCTGTGTGCTTGGGGTTGAGGCGCCGCAGGAGGTCGCTATTGAATACACTGTGAGCGAATGGAGTTGGCTGGGGAGGGAAGGGCGAGGGGAAGCGGATACGTACAGCGCCGAGTCGAAGGGGTCGATCTCAGCCATGGTGAAAGATGGGGTGTCGCGAGGAGGTGCCGTGGTGGTGATGTAGGTTGCAGCTTGGAGGTGAGCTCGTCGCTGGTCCGGGTCTGACCTGACACGGCGGGGTTGGAATGCCCGCCCCCACTTGAGCTTGAGGTTTGCACGTCACAGCCATGGCCAACTACTACGTACCTTAGGTACCTAGTAAACAACGAACTACGTGACTGTCCAGGCACCCTGGGCTTGGGTCCCAAGTCCGGCCGGTATGAGTGCCATGGGCTGGGATGCAAATTGGCGCCATGAATTCAGGGATGCAGCATAATCAATTGCAGCGCAGACAGTTCTATTGTACTCAGAACTACTCAAGACACGTACATCCAGTATCCCAAACATTGACCCCAGGCACACAGCTCTAGAATCCAAGCAATACTCCTCGCCGTAAATGGTAAACCGTAAAAAACATTACCCAACGCCATGCCTGCCCCTGTATGCATCCAGCATCAAGCAGCCAACGCCCAAAGCTCGGAACTGTCACATTCGAATAGCCCTTCTCGAAAACAAAAAAAGATGACAAAACGATGGAGAAAAAAAAAAAGACCAAGACAAAAGAAAGGATAAGATACTAGTGCAATTTTGTTCCCCTGCTTATCACGTCCCTACTGCTGCTTGAAACTCACACCTTTTGTTGTCTTCCCAAAATGTACCGCAGTCCGACTTGGCGAATGGAATATGTACTTCTGCAGAAAAGAGTCGAGAACCATGGCAACACTGTCCTATTGGTGCTAGATGCTCGGGCTGACATTGCTGTAGGCCACGGTGACGACTGGAAAAGAGGGTGGCTTTCTCCTTCGAAAGCCAGGTTCAATCAATCATCTTATTGCAAATAAGACACTCGGCACGTTCCGTCCAGGTTCGATCCCCGCCTTGAACGTTGGATCTCAGATCGGTTATGACCCAAACCATTGGCCCGTCATTCATCTTTAAGCTCGCTTCAAACAGGCCCTCGTATGGTTTGTCTTCGACGGCCTTCTTTCCTCGGCCCTTCTTCCCAGATGCCGACTTTGCGCTCTTGGGGCCAACCGAGTTGGGTGGCCCTGGAGTGGGCGTCTGTGTCGGGCCCTTGGGTGTGCTCTCGCTAGTTCGGCCGCCAGCTGCGTGGTCTCCGTTTTCGCTTGGTCCTTTGACGTCGATAGCTGAGGGAGTGCGCTCTACCTTGTTCTCAGTCGGCGTCAGCGGACGGTGTACAAGCTCATCCGTCTCCGTCTTCACAAGGGTTTGTTCCGTCTTTTCGGAAATGTGTGGTTTGTCAGTTCCAAACCGCTCGTAGATTCGCATTAGAATGTCGTGTAAGAGACACTCGTAATGAAGCCAATTGCCGCAATCTGCGTTGGTACAGCCGATCAAAGTCTTGTCGGGGTTCGCTGGGGTCTGGCATTTGCAGGTTAAATCAACCGACTGTCCGGGTAGAGTTAGAATCAATCCTTGATGCGTGGCCAGACAGAGTGGGATTCGTACAGATAACTGCGAGGTCCGGCAATTGAACGCCTGTCTCCAGTAAAGTGCATCCTGCACTTCTTCGTCATCCGACTCAATCCATTGATGAACGGTGGCCTTCATTGCCACACTGACGACGTTGATCACGTCCACTGTTGAGCCATGTCAGCACTGCAAATACATTTGGAGGCGTGTGGGTACGAATCGCGCCTTACTATGGTTCGATGCGATCAGTTCATTCTGGCCGTGATAAGGCTGGCGGCCACTAATAGACTTCTTGCCATCCTGAGTTCCGGGCGGCAGCTCGTCGGGCGAATACATCCAGTAAATCCGCGCGTATACGTGATGCTCATCTGCTGCTCGGACCTCAAGAATTCGAGCAACCCAGTAGTCGGTTGACTGCAACAAATTTCCGGCATCGGCGTTTTTGCCGGTCGATTTTTGGCGCTCAATAGTGGCCTCGTTTGCGACGTAGATAAAATCGTCATTGCAATACTTGTAACCATTCACTGTGGGAGAAAGCCAAGCTGGTGAGCAGACAAGCCCATTGCATTGCGCAAAGCGGCGTCGGGTCAAGGCTGGGAACGGAGACGAAGGGGGGTGGCGTCGCGGGATCTTGACTCACAGACGAAGCTATTGTATCGCGTCATGTCCTGCCATCGCTTCCGTGGCTCGACTGCATAGGCGAGATTCATGGACTGGTTGGATTTGAACTTGCCCCGTGGTTCAAAGGGCGACAGCTGGACCAGCTCCTTCTTGTGGTTATTGGAAGCTGCGCCATCTTCGTCGGCGTCGCGCTTCCTCTTCTTGACTATGTGATCGCGCTCCTCGGAGCTCGGGGCGGTGACCATGGATATGGTAAAGGGACAATCGGCGCGGTTCTCGTCCGTGATGGCACGGGAGCGCTTTCGGGATTTGGAGCTCATGACGGGCGGGCACAGGAGATGGAAAAGACTAGGATATCGAAACAGAATGAGGACAAGCGCGGCGTCTGCGCGCCCGAGTTGATCAAAAGGCTGCGCGTCGGAAAAAAACACAGGTGTGGAGGTGGGCAAGTGGGAGGTTATTCGCGACGCCGGTTGGGCCAAGCTATAAGGCGGGCCAGACCTGGCTGGCAAGGACACGAGGTGCTCAAGTGGCCAAGAAGGAGGGCGAGTGGGCAAGAGGAGCGCCGGGTTGCCGACGAGGCAGGAGCGTCTGGTGCCGTACGGCGTACGGAGTAGTACTAGGTAAGTTAACTACTGGGACTGGGTACTACTAGCTCGAGGAGGCAGCATCAGCCGGGCCACCGTGTCGCACTAACTCCAAATGGCTGGGCAGAGTAACTACCTAGGCAGTTTGCTGGTAGACCCCGGCCGCCAGAGCAACCCAGGCGCCAGGCACTGAGGCAGACTGACCTCAACGGCTGACAGACGGGGGGGAGGGTCAAACTGCATCAATGTGCGTCCTCTGTACTTTGCCTACGGAAATAATGTGACTGGCGCGCGGTAGAAGATTCCAGACGCTACAATAGCTCCGAGTCGAACGATGATGATCGAGGGCCGAAAAAAAGAAAAACAAGGGGAAAAACTGCAACGTTCGCAAGTTCTGTTCAAGGATGTCGAGAAGACAAAAGGAAGGAGAGAGGCGACATTGGCTGTCTGTTTGCCAATAATATTCATTTGGGTGGCTGGTGAGGAAGGCTGGCGCGGCTAAATCGGACAACAGCCGCCGCTTGCCCAATCGCCTCGACACAAACCCGTTTCGACCTGGGCACTCCATAGCGGTCACACTTTGGCCTTTTATTAAAATAACATCTTCATATACCTGTGGGCATATCAAGGGATGATGCCGCGACAGAAAAAAACCTAAATCACCATGAGAGCCAATGTCGTCATTTTATACTGTACACGTAGCCTCCAAGTCGACCGTCAGCAAAAAGGGTTGCCAAATGTGACTCTGGCTGCTGCACAATGAAGAAAATTCGTCTTGCAGCTTCCTGCCACCACGGCAGCATTCATCAGCCTCGATACAAAAATGGCTTTACTCGTCTCTGTTATAATAAACTCAGTACCACGCCAACGCCAACGCCAACGCCATCGCTATGCAACTTGCAAGAATAAAACCCAAATACAAACATCATATCCACAATTCCGCACTCCGAACCGGATATCCAGTTAGCCATCTTCTTCATCTTCCGTCAAAGCTTCTTGCGATAAGCACACTTCTGAGCCCTCAATCTTGGCCACTAGGCGCTCGCCTTCCTTCTTTCCCCTCTCAACATTAATTAACCATATCAACGGTGCTGGAAGGCCAACCAACGCCCCCAAAAACCAGAACGCTGGACGAATGCTGCCTGTCCGGTCGATAATCGCGCCAACTATACTTGGGCCAAAGACACTGGATCCCTTGTCCGTAATGGCATATAGAGCGTAGAATGCGGCCTCGGAGCCGGGGGGGATCAACTCTCCGTACAGAGACCGGCAGTAACTACTTAGGCCGCCCATGACAAGGCCATATATCGCTGCCAAGGGGTACATTTCCCACGGCTGTTGGAGGCCAAGGACACCCCAACTCTTCACAAATGGGAGGTAGCCCGTAAGCCCATAAAGGGGAATAAGTTCAAAGAGGGCGATGCAAACCAAAATGGTCTGATGGGCTTTCAAGCCCAAGCCTCGAGATACCATCGGCCACCCAAATGCGCCGAGTATTCCAGACATGGTTGTAATGACATTGATCATACCCAACGCCCAGGGACGCATGTGTAATTGTGTCTTGGCGAATAAGATGGCGGTGCTAGAGGTCGTGGCAATGGCATCCGACAGCAAGAACCATCCCGCAAGGAATAACATGATGTCTGCTAACCTTCTTGCTTGTTGGATAGTACGGAAAAGAGATTTCCAGGCATAAGTCAGGTACGGTATCCATCCAAATGCGCCCTTCCTTCCCGTGTTTACCAGTGGCGGTCCGGGTCTTGGTCGTAACCACAGGGCTGACGGGACAGTAAACACTGCCCACCAAGTCCCGATGACGAAAAGGACTACTCTTTGAGACCACGTAGAGTTCTTCATGCTGAGCAGAATGCCAATGGACAAGCATTGAACGAAGAGGGCAGCGATGTAGCCGATGCCCATGCCCTTGGCAGACATGCGGGAGGAGAGCTGAAGTTCAGTCGAAGTAAGTTCCTCGTGGGTTGCGGCTCTACGAAGTCGTAGATGCGACGCAGCATTGTCACTGGGCAGAAGTGGCGACGCTGCATTAGCAGCTTCATTCTCCAGTGTGCCAACTGACTCGTCTAGAGGTCTGGACTCTGACACGGAACCCGCCAAATCCGGCGTCGTTCCACGCTGAGCACTCAGCACCTCGGGATGATTTCGTACCAGCAGCGGCAAAAACGAATTCAAGAGCACAAAGGATGCCCCAAAAGACGTATTGGAGAGGATAGTGAGAATAGCACCTAGGACGTAGGTCTCCCTGCTGATGAAGATGTAGCACATGACGGAGAAGGCACCAAGCCATGCAAATGCTAAGAGGAGCTTCTTTCTGTAATGTCCATGATCGGCCGCACAACTGATGCTCACGACCAGGAGCGCTTGCAGCAGGACACTGACTGAAAAGGTGTACATTGCAAAACTGGCGGTGTTGATTTCGAGACCCAAAACGTAGACGACGCATTGCCCGTCGTCTCCGCCTTTGCTGTCACTCGATCCGCATGGCTTCGTATGGTCCGAAACCAGTACGCCGTTTTCTCGGGCCAAAGTTTCCAGGAGAATAGGAATGAATGAACCTGTCGAGCAGGGCGAGTCAGCATTAGAGGGGTTTGTCATTCACGGTCATCGCATCCAGCAAGCTCGAGGCGCTTTTCCAGGGGAGATTTTGAACAAGCAACACCATTGCAAAGAGAAATACCAAACTTACCGATTCCACAAACCACATAAACCTCGGCTGCAAAGCCGTACATGTACCAGCCAAGCAATTCCTTCCGGCTGGTTGGTCGCGTATCATGGCCGGAGTAGTATGGCGCCCCGATTGGGAGCAAATCGCTGTCGCCGCTCTGTGAACTCATGCTACCGTCGGTCGAGGATCGTTCGTCATCAGCTTCGAAATCAGATGTAAAGGAGCGAAACGATCGCTTCGAGAGAATTGAAATTCCCGACCAATGTCGACGGCCTTGAAGTTTTGGGCGGCCGACATGAGCTTGTGAAGGCATTCCGGAAGGAGAGGAAGCTTTAGCTCCTCGTGGCTGGCACCTAAATCAAGGTCGCTCCTGCCTGCTGGCACCCCGTGCTGGCTTTCCCCACACGTGATTGGTACGGCTGAGCCAGGACTGTTTGAGATGGCTCGACACTTTTCCAATGTCACAACAATCTGCCTCGTGAGATTCAAATGGCTGCTGCTGTAGTGCTAGGTGGTGAGGCTCCTCACAATCAAAGGAGCTGGAGATGGACTGAGTGTAACAACGATATGGCTTCGGCACAATCCCCACAACGCACTGCGGAGGCTTGTTAGACTGGACCCTTTATCAGCTGCTGCGTTCACCTACTCTCTCTCACACGTCTCTTTGAAATCCTAAGTGCATCCCTTGCATCTCGACGATGGCAGACGGTTGTCGATTGCCACAGACACAGAAGCCAAATAAAGAACAACCACAGCCTGCGCAGATGAGCACATATATATGATATCCTTCGTCAATTAGTTAACGCCAGAGAGTTGGCGGTCCCACCGACATCATTCCCTCTTTAGCGACTCTTTTCGAGGATTCGTGCATTCGCATCTCGAATGGGAATCCGGCATGTCTCATGGTTCGACGGTTGATGCATAATGAGCAAACTCAGCTGGCTAAATCAACTTACCTAGGCACTCTGACGCGCTGCATCTAGATGCCTATTCGTTCGGTGTTGGTCCCATCTCCTAGCGTACCCTCCTTCACTCACGAAATAATGGGTTACATTCCCGCATTCCCGCATGACCTTTGCTGGGGCAGGGATCATGGGATTCGTGAATGGCATTTCTGTTCTCTGTGTTGCAGCAGAAACTGGGCCCAAGCTTACACTTTTTCTTAGATGTCACTCGGCAGAAACGGTGTATCTCAACTCGCGTTTTTCAAGAGTTGTTCGTGCCAAAAAAAAAAAAAAAAAAAAAAAAACATGAACCCTCCTCCTTTGGCCAGGTTGCCAGAGAGGGATCGGCTGAAGTCAGGTGGGTTTGGTTTCTCATATCCATGTCTGCTCCGCCCAAACTTGGAGATTTTGACCGTGGAGGAAACCATGCCAGGCAGGGTTCAGTTCGAGGAGATGGTGGGACAAACGCAACGTTCTAAGTTTACAAGAGCGAACACTGGCTTGTTGATCCCTCCTTGGTCGTATCCACCCGAGGTATCTCACCGCATCAGCTCTGACACGTTAACCTATACTTGAATATCTAGGAGGGAAACATATAGCCTGGCCGCCGTAGGATGTAACGTCGGTTAAGTCTTGAGTTGCTCCAGATTTGCTAAGCAGAGTCATTATTAGGCTGGCTCAGCCATCGGATTGCTCCCTTGATTCTTTGTTAAGTCAAATTGCTACTTGCAACAAGCCATAGAGCTTGGGACACAGGGGTATAGTGAGGAACCTTGTCGATGTTTTTTTATACAACAAAGCCTCGGCTACGTGTATACTATATTCCCCTTGGCGTTTGGCTCGCCTTCCAACTTGAATAGGACCGGAGATGATAGACATGTGTTGAATAAAAGCAAATCTTTATAATAGATTGGTTCTGCTCAAACCATGCAATATACCCATCGCGGTGAAGGCTATCACGAAAGGTTGATATGAAAGGGGACGCTTTTCAACTCCATGACCAATCTTTGAAAAGCTCGGATAAAAGTAACAAAGTTGCAAAAGTGATAAAAAGTACGCGTGCCACTTGGATATCAATGCGAATTCATACTACGCAAATAAAAGTAGACAAAAAAAAGCCCGAATATCCCAGTATACCTTCCTCCTCCTCCTCCTCCTCCGCTCTACCTCTTCAACACACCAAACAGCTTCTGCTTCAACTTGTCCGCCAAGCTAACGGGCGCCGCCGCGCTCTCCCCCGTCTTGTCCGCCGCCTTCTTGCCGTGCCCATCCGCAACATGTTCGTTCCCTGCGCCGCCGCGACCAGTGTGGTAGTCCTGGTTGTCCTGGCTAGCGCGGTACGCCGACTCGGGCACGACGTCTTTGTCTTTACGAGCCGCAGGGGCGGAGCCGACGTCGCCAATGTTACCAGCACCTGTTTGCAAAGTAGCCCCTCGCGTTAGCATCGTGGATAGAGAATTTTTTTTTTTTTTTCCAAAAAAAAAAAAGAGGCCCACCGCAAGGCATCAATGCGAGAGAAGTAGATCCGGGCATCATTGCATATCGCAGTTCCCGTCAATTCCTCGCCCCCATTGCAAAGTGCTCCTCTCAGGAATTAAAAAGAATGGCTGCATCATCGTCTCACCTCCTCTGCCGGCGCTGTACGCTCCGTCGCCATGGCTCCCCTCGACTCCGGCGCGGACGACTTCCCCGTCGACATACTCCGTCTTGTCGGGATTGATGTTGCCGGCTCCTCCTCGGCCGTGGGACACCTCGACAGCCATGACTATTAGCCCTTGGACCAAGTTGCTCTCTGGAATAATCTTGTGCCGGCAAGGCAACGACGTGGCGTGACACCTGTAGAGGCCGAAATCGTGGAAAGCGGTGAAATATCCTGTAGGGACCAGATGCTCTAACGCCCGGGAAGGGGGGCAAAAAAAAGGACAGTCGGAAACCTAGAAGCCTTTATATCTCCTTATCCTCTGGGTATTCAGCGGTGCCGATAAGATGGAAGCATCAACAGGTGCAAATACGTGATACTGTTGTCATGGGTGGGCCTGCAGCCTTGTTTGGCTCCAGCCATGGCCTGAAGCACACAAGCTTAAAAGGCTGTGCCAACAAGTGCCAACAAGTGGCCGGGTAGTTATCTGTCGAGCGCCATCAATCATCAGATGGTCGCTGAGTGGCAAGCCTCTCGATGTTTATCGGCAAGGGCCGGAGACTGCCAAGGCGCTGGAGGACCAGGAGCGCGCTGGGCCAGTGAGAGTGTGCCGATGCGGCCCCGTTTACGTAGCTGAAATTGGCGTGGCTCTGGCTTGCCGAGAGGCTTATCTTTTGACCTTTGTGGTGAGATGGTTCCCCGTTATCACCATGTCGTCTTGACTGAGGCAGACAGCGGTTTGCTTTCACGTGGCGCAAGAATTGGGTCACCATGGAGGGAGGAATCGCATCGCTGCCTACCCCCCCCCCCCCTT